AGGACCGAATGATCTCAGTCTGGCTTGGGATACCATCACGAAAACAGTGGAGTGTATTGTCTCTGAACCATATATTGTGTTTGAGCTTGACTCAAGCATAATATACTCCGTAATTGGTGTTACTTATTTTGTTTCATAATTCATGTGGTCGCTGCTTTACGTTGGTGAAATATATGTACACTTCCTTTATTAATCATTTCCTTATTTATTGGTGCCATTGCCCAACGCCGTACCAGCCTTACTACACCGGGATTTATTCAGCGAAACATTCAAGTGATCAGTGAACGATTGACTACCAAACAGTGTTCTTATAGTGCACTCCAAGGAAAAGCACAAAAACACAGCAGTGCAATACTGAGTGTGGCTGGATCTGACCTAATCTGACCTGACCTCACGGCTTCACCTGACCGAACCTGAAGGATGGACCACACCTGCATTGCCCCAAGCTACTGTCCTGGCCACGTAGCCACACACCTGCCCAACCACATCCAGCCCATATGAGCACGAACTGATTGCTATAAGAACAGCCCAGTCCCAACCATTGTAAAAATTATCAACGCCTAATTATTATATATCATATTTGTATCACTTATGTTACCTGTATATCATCTGTAAATCAAGAGACCCATTCCCCAATTATGTAACTGTATATTTTCATCCTTCCGGCTGCCATGATCTTTCAATAAACCGTTAATTATTATTATTATTATTATTATTATTATAAGGGGTTAAAAGGGGCTTACTAAAGCCTAAGGAAGGAAGGATATTCCTTCAACACATCATCAATATTATTTATATAATATCTGGCCAGTATGGGGAGGATCATCGTGTCTCCGTCAGGGCGGTGTTATTTCCCTTTGTTTATCATTGGATCGTCAGACCTTTTTTGGGGGGCTTTTTGCGTTTTTCGTTTTATTTGCTTTATCCTATAAGTTTGCATGGGTTTTGTTGCGGTTTCTACCTTTCTGTGACTATACAATAAATGCACATTGTTTTAATGTTAGTAATACAGGAGAAGAAACAGTTTGTAAGATAGTTCTGCTTATAGAAAGTTTATGTGTAGAGGTGATTGGAGAATCTTACCAGGTTCTCTTGCAGCTTGTGGATTTTTTTTTAAGGAATGTTAGTAACACAGGAGTTGATTTGTGCAGATAGGAGTCTTAGAGAAAGAATATTTGTAAGGTGGTTGGAGAGTCCTGCGAAGTTCTCTTGGAGCTGGTAGGGGGCTCTCATCTTTTAATAAAGAAGGAAAAGTTGGTGGAGAGCCCTGCCAGGTTTTTGTGGAGCTGGCAGGTCACTCTCATCTTTTTGGTGATAGTTATTTTCATTTTATTGTTCTCTTTAAGTATAAGATAGTAAGGGGGTTGGTCCTCCTAGTATTTTCTTACTAGATTTGAACCATCGGTGTTCTGTTATTCTTTCGTTGTCGTTGTCCTCATTTAACCAGTTTTGATAGGTTTCTAAGTTTACTTTTACTTTTACCTTTATCCTCTTTGCCACTGATCGGCTTGTTAGCTGGTAGGGGGCTCTCATCTTTTAATAAAGAAGGAAAAGTTGGTGGAGAGCCCTGCCAGGTTTTTGTGGAGCTGGCAGGTCACTCTCATCTTTTTGGTGATAGTTATTTTCATTTTATTGTTCTCTTTAAGTATAAGATAGTAAGGGGGTTGGTCCTCCTAGTATTTTCTTACTAGATTTGAACCATCCGTGTTCTGTTATTCTTTCGTTGTCGTTGTCCTCATTTAACCAGTTTTGATAGGTTTCTAAGTTTACTTTTACTTTTACCTTTATCCTCTTTGCCACTGATCGGCTTGTTAGCCGCTTGGGCGATTGGTCACGTCTCTGATTACTTTTCCTTTTCATTTATCTTCTTCACCAAAAGATCGGCTCGCTAGCCGCCCGGGCGATCGGTCACGTCTCTGTCACGCACTGATGGCAAATACTGGGCATGCACCGGCTCCTGAATGTCTTGTCTTGTAAGAGCTCACACTCGGTACTGTCACAACACTTTCCGGTAGATTGTTCCAAGAGCTTACAACCCTCACTCCGAAAAAGTTTGCCCTCACAGTTTTCTGGACGTGCGGCTTCTTCAATCTTGAGCTGTGACCCCTTGTGGGGCGAGCGTCCGCCAGCTCCAAGTAAGGACACTCGACTGAGTAGTGCCCCTTGAGATGCTTATACACCTCAACTAAGTCACCCCTTGCCCGTCTGTAGTATAAGCTAGGCAAGTTCAGGCGCTCCAGTCTCTCAGAGTAGCTGAGGTGCCGAAGTGCAGGCACCACTCTGGTGGCCCTCCTTTGAACATTTTCAACCAACTGACAGTCCCTAGCATATCTCGGGGACAGTACTCCAGATGGGGAAGCACTTCACTCTTGAAGATCATTACGAGGGACGGACCGTCTAGATATATGAACGACCTTCTTATAAGACCCAATAATTTATTTGCCTGATTTACCTTCTTCTCGCAATGGCCCGAGAACTTCAGCTCATTGTCAACATACACACCTAGGTCCTTCTCACATTCAGCCTCAACTAGTGCAGTTTCTTCATCCCGTTGGGATATATGATACGCCTCCTTACCGTTGGTAGGCCCCAGGTGCATCCTCTTACACTTCGTGACATTGAATCTCAGCAGCCATTTCTTCGACCATTCTTGGAGCCCACAGAGGTCCTTCTGCAGCTCTTCACAGTCCGCTTGGTTCTTGGTTCCCGAAATAACAAGGTCAGCTCCGCAACTCTTTCCCTCCTCACAGGGTTCCGTTTGTCTTTATGCTTGAGGCGGATATTTGTCGGCATCTTGGCTGGTCATGGGTAGTTGTTAGGTTAGATTATGTTTTATTGTACCTATACCACAGGGGTGCCTGCCAGAGAAGCTGAATCTCCCCCCCCCCCTCCTTTTAAGTGTGCGTCAGGCTCGTAGGGCGCAGCTCACTGGTACCAGTGGAGTGTTTTGTCTATAATAGAGTTCCACCTAACAATAGTGATCCCCAAACAGGGATGTCCTGTATCATGGACAGTATCTTGGGCTAGGGCAGTACATCTGGGAAGACTCTGATCTGCGTCATCATGGAAATTACCAGTAGTATTGTAAGGGCAGATCGACGTTGCACTTTTTTAAAGGGAGCTGACACACCGAACACTAACAGGCTACGGAATCAAGAATAGGGATACAACCCTGAATATCATTGACAGTAAACTCCTTGATTGATAAATACATACCCGAGATCAAACCCACTGGCTCCAAGACTACTGGGAGACCGCTACATTATTGTGAACCATGCAGCAGTTTCTATGCGAACGAAATAACAACTTATACATATATCCGTACTGTCTCCCAACTTTACTTGAGACTCGACAAAAAATGGCGTATTTATATTATGTCTTCGGGTTTTTGTTTGCTCTCTTGCTTGACCAGCGATCGATATCTTAAGCACTTTTGAGCTAGGAAGCTGAAAGTTATCAAAATTTATGTTTAGTTTCTACTCATATTTTGTTGGTGGCATTGCCCGGGGCGGTGTACGCTGAACGTGCCTCTACATATTCTTCAAATTATCGCCCATTTTTTTTCATATTTTTTTTTACTGAACAACTTTGCATTTACTGTATACGAGATACTACAGTCAATTTGATATAAAAACAGCTATAGGTAACCAATACGTTTAGGTAGGTAGAAAGGGTATTAAACAAGAAACTTAATTTTTCCTTAAAGTTTATTAGTAAAACATTTAAGTGATTTTAAATTACCAGGCCATTGCACCAATAAGCATTTATAGTGCCACTACACTCATGCATCAACTTTATGGGTTGGAGATTCTAATAAAATATATCTTTGGATGATAAGAAGCGAAACATCTCTGGATATGTGTGTCTTGGAATTTGTCAGTTTGATATAATAAAATTAATAAAAAGTTGGACTTTCTGAGTTTAAGGCACTATGAAGAAATGGTCCATTCAGAGAGATATTTATGGTTTGAAACACTGAGAGAAGTGTCTCATTAAGGTTGTGGGTTTAAAAGTGTGAATGTCTCTCAGAACACAAGTGAGGTCGTCTGAGCAGCATACCGTGTGGTGAAGCCTTTAGGATTGTGGAGCCACATCCGACAGCCTCCGTTTCCATCCCAGAGGGTACACTCCAACCTCGGCCCTGACGGGAAAGTCGTCTCTTGGTATCCTGGAGAACTTTCCAAACCTGTTTCAAGGAGCTTCTGTTGAGAGGAGGGTCGCCATGGCTTAGGTCCTGTCAGCGAAGTCCCTGTTACCTGTGGGACTACTTTATCAACTCCTCCAATACTTTTCACCGTGAGGCCCTCGTTTGAGAAGGGTACTGCTTCTGGTTTTCTGTTGTCAGGTGGGTTATTGGTGCGTCGATAACTGTTGACTGAATTGAGGCATTGCATCCTGAGGATGTTGAAGTAAACCTGTCCGACGGTGGCGGCCAACGGGTCCTTGGCCGCCTTTAGGCACCGAAAGAGCTCTAGGTCGCAGATGCAGTGAGACCTGAGAAGTATGTTACCATTAAATTAAGTATAAATAATAATTACATCAAATAGACCAAATAACTTAATCAATTAAGGATAAGTCAGAAAATTCATTCTTTGTTCTCAAAAATCTTCACGAAAGGTTATAAATTTTAAAAAGAATTAGCTTATCTTACTAACTTCCATTCATACGTCTATATTAGAGAACCTATGACAGAGAAATATGTCTTTCTTTGAATGCTCTTAATCTGGCAAGATGCTGGTTCATGATTCGTTTGATGTACAACATCCACTCACTTGACAACTAATCCATATACTGTAATCTATGAACGGAAAATGAATGTCATATGACACAAAAGCTTCTAATTCACTTGTTACTCTATCCGCCCATCCAATAACTTATTTGGAACCATGAAACCGGTTCACCCATCCAAGTCGACTCAATTAACATTCTGTCCACACCTATTGACTCACTTAGTAATGAAACTCAAGTTGGTGAAGCCGTATCGAGTGGCTAGAGGGCGGACCTTGATGGGGCAGTGGTCGTGAGCGCGGCAACAAGCATCTAACTCGACCCTCTGACCCAGCTCGTGGTAGTAGGTGGCCTGGTCCCTCTTGCCGCACCACAGTGTTCCTGGTAAGATTCCCTGCAGTGCCGACGGGCTCAGCAACCACAGGTTAAGGGGTTCTGGAAAAAGGTTCATAAGTTAATGTGGTTCTAGAAGGATGTCCAAGGGTTAAGGGATTCTGGAAGTTATAAGTTTAAGGGGGGTTATAGAAGTAGGTCCATAAGTTAAGGGATTTTAGAAGGTTCATAGGTTAGGGGGTTTCTAGGAGGCTAGGCTAAGAGGGCTCTAGAAGGAGGTTAGGTTAAGAGGGTTCTAGAAGGAGGTTAGGTTAAGATGGTTCTAGAAGGAGGTTAAGTTAAGAGGGTTCTAGAAGGAGGTTAGGTTAAGAGGGCTCTAGAAGGAGGTTAGGTTAAGAGGGTTCTAGAAGGAGGTTAGGTTAAGAGGGTTCTAGAAGGAGGTTAGGTTAAGAGGGCTCTAGAGGGAGGTTAGGTTAAGAGGGCTCTAGAGGAAGGTTAGGCTAAGAGGATTCTAGCAGGAGGTTCGGTTAAGAGGGCTCTAGAGGGAGGTTAGCTTAAGAGGGTTCTAGCAGGAGGTTCGGTTAAGAGGGTTGTATCAACTATCAATGTGCTGTCACTAGGCTCCTAGCTGGTGGTGGTAAGGATTTGGCGGTGTGACCAGGTGCTTACGCGCTATATGTTATAGTATTATGATTGTTAATTGAAGGTGCTTACTTTGTTCGCTGTAAAGTGTTAAATGAATGTATTTAATAATCCTTGAGTGGACACTAGTGGTGATTCTTTATTTTGTAATTGATGATTCAGTTGTTCATAGATATTAAGACTTACTTTTAATACATAGTAATTAATTGTTAAATATGTATCACCCTTCCTCCAGTATAATTTGCATGCCAAAAAATATCCAGAATCCACGTGTCTTGACCCCTTGCCAGCTACCAAAATAATTTAAAAGGTTTTAATGCTGAAGCCCAAGTTTATGATGTGTCAGGCATGCCTGGGTGGTGGCAACATATTACTAGTTAATTAATAAATGCGAAAGATAATAATAAGTAAGTGTAAGTTCAGCATACCCAAGTGCAATATAATTAAATGGAAAAAATAAAATAAGAGCATCACAAGGGTAACATACCTGACTTAAGGGTGTGGGATTGGTGTGACGGGGTGTTGATAGCGCCACAGAGAGTGATGAGGTGTACCATGGTGGGCAGGGGGAGGGGCACCAGGGGCATCACACTACTTAGATATTGGAGGGCGGCTCGCTGCTCCCTCACCTCGCTGTATAGTGAGAGAGAGTAAGGATGAACATGTGAGAGAAAAATTAGTCGAGTTTTTCAAATAAAGAACAAGTGTGTGAGAAGAAGAGAAAATGCGAGGTAATAAGTATTGCCATATAAATGTTATTAAAGTACAATACTACATATATAAATACAGCGACTCAATATGAATTTCGTGATAATATGATCAGACGTAGATCAGCAAGGAGATGCAGGTAAACGGGGGAACTATGTTACTCACATGACCTCCTGCACCACACAGTTTACCATGGTGCCGTCCTCCTCCTGCAGCACCGCCGCCACCGCCTCCTCGTGGAAGTACCCCACCCACCGCGCCTTTCTATCTCCGTACCCTGCCTTGAAGGACTCCAGAGGAGGCAGTGGATGACTTCCCCATGATTGGATGATGTTCCGTGTCGGCCAGGACACCCTGAGGAAGGCGGATGGGTTGGGTGACGATGTGGGACGATTGCTGGGAAGAGACGGGTGTTCTTCGACTGACGTTCGATCAGCTGAGTCTTCCACAGTATCACGTTCCGTCAGTGATTTTAACTCCACAAAATATCTATTTCCAGGGTTCGTATTCGGAACCTCGAAAACAGCCTTTAATTGCTCTGGGGCGTTAAGGACATTTTCTTGAGACTCCTTACCATTAAGAAAATAATGTAATTTGTTTGAATATTTATTGTCATCAATGTGAACTATTTGAGGGTAATTTTTTCCTGATTCATCCGGGCCATGGTCCGTAGAATCGAGTGACGGATGTGTTACTTTGGTGTCTGATTTATATTCGGCAGATTCTCGAGGATTGACGGAAGGAAAGAAACCATGTTCGTGTGGTATAGTGAGGGGTGACCTATCCCGTTCTGAAATAGTGTAGTCGTTGTCCAAATATGGGTGAACGGTTGTAGCTAAGAGACCCCTGGAAGTTAGCAAGAAAATTGGTGGCATTAGAGCCATAACTTGACAGATACTTCGCCGCATTATCTATTCGTTTGTGTGTGTGTGTGTGTTTTGGAAAAGGGGAGGGGAGGGGGGGTTTTCCGTGGAATCTCCTAATGTTGTACCCACCACTATGACCAGATCATGCACATATTACCATTGATGTTTCTGTTATTGTAGCTGTTATCCAGACAACATAACCCCACAATGTCAAATTACTTAGACTGCTGTTGTTCTTATTTATATTTTTGTACCTCTTTTTGGCAGTTTTGTCAAAACTTGCAGTTCTTGTTGATTTTCTTGTTCTCGTTTTCCTTACTAATGTTACAGATGCAGAGACTCAAACAAATTAAATTACACTTAGCTCGTTGGTTGTGTCATTGGCAGTGGACGCGGCAACACTATCTGCGGGAGAGAGAACACTGTTGTAGCTCACTGATGGTTATTTTTCGGTGGCATAGATTACTTACGCAGCCTACTTGTATTAAAAAAAATAAAAATAAAAAAGTGCATAGATATCTATCACATGTATAATGGGTTGAAATTGAACAGGTAAGGCCTATCTGAGAAGAGGGTTTTAGCAAGGTAATGCATTAGGAAATACATATACATAAATTTTGTTAGAATGAGGTTAAGTTAATTAATAAGAACAGTATCGCGGCTCAGTTCCACGGGGACCTAATCTTTGAGTCATGTCATTGCGTTATCTCATAGTGAGATTTTTTATGAGCTAAATAAAATCGTCTGTCAATAGCCAGAACAAATTCTTAAAAGAGTCGAGAGCAATGAGCGGGTTAAATACCTTTACGCTGGGTTGTTTTGGTGGCCGGCTGTCCTGCAGGTCTCGATCATCAAAATTTTTATTACTGAGGAGAAAGTAAGGAAAACTCAAGGAACTAGACATAAAAATCGTATCAACCAAAGATTAGCCCTCTATCTTATTTCACCTAAAGATTAACCATCTGAACGCTACCTGGGGTAAGGTGAAACAGGTGATACAAGATGGCTAATCTTCATGTGATCTGGAAAAAATCTATGAAAAACGTTGGGAAAGGGAGAAGCCGTGTTTGAATTTTATGTTAGTTGGAGGAGTAACCGTAGAGTGGCGGACTCATGCTAACCCGCATATGAATTTTCCCTAAGTCATGTTATATTGTCATTTGTTGCATCATAGAGCTGTTGCTTAACATGAGATCATTTCACATCACGCGAAATAATTTCATGATTTGCTTTTATCAGTAGAATGACAAAGTATTAACCCAACCTGATTATTCTGATAAACTATTCAGACCACAAATTGAAATATTATATATTCGAGTATATATTGCCTCACAAATGGTCTCTCTCATTACTGATACCAAAAAAGGGTTATTATGTTATAATATCCATTCTGCAATTAAGCAACACAAATTTTATTTGTAAAATATTGTATCAATTCGATTGTGTCGAACAATTTTCTTTGTAATACTCTTGCATGTCCAAGCAAGCCACCTTTACATGCATTCCAACAACAACCATTTCTTTAGTCAACTCATGCAGAAACAACAGACCCAAACAGCCGGTATTTAACCACACTTCCCTCCTCTTAAAAAAGACTGAATTTCAACTTAACTCAATTATTAAACGGAACCTAACCCCCGAGGCATTATTCATAGGTCACATAATATATATATATATATATATATATATATATATATATATATATATATATATATATATATATATATATATATATATATATATATATATATATATATATATATGCAAGTAAATCACTGTAGGTGCGCGTGATCTAGGTATATGCTGATAACCACAAGGAAAGAAGAAAACACGAAGTTCCCAAGCGCTTTCGTGTAATTCACATCTTCAGGGGTGAGTACAGACTAGAGAGTAATACAAATCAAGGTGTATATATACAGAGGAGGGTGAGACCAGGTCCACAATGGTCAGGTATTAGGTAATGACCCTACTAATCTTTAAATAGCACACAACGGTTGGTGGTCAGGTCAGATGGTCAAGTGACCCGGCCTTCTCACCTGATCACAAATCTTCTTAATTACAAAATTGTCCAGCTTGTACATGCCGTTACTCAAATTCATGTTGAATGCTTCGGTATGTTTAATAAGACTAGATTCTATGATGTTCCTACTGTCAATTGACTTACATGGTAATATTGAGGAGGCATTATCCCAGTCAATGCAATGCTTGTTATCCCTCAAATGAACAAACAGAGCATTGGATTCCTGGCCTGTCCTAACACTGTATTTGTGTTGTTTAATTCTAGTTGCAAGATCTTTACCTGTCTGGCCTAAGTAAAACATATTACATTCCTTGCATTATAAAAGTTCCTTGCAAGGAATGTAATATATTATGTACTTTCGTTTTTTTAAAAGGGTGAGGGGGGTAGATTAATGATTGTCTGAGACCGCCAGCTTTCACGACTGAACCCGTGTAAATAGTCAGTAAATTACTACGTCACTTTGACTTTACATCTCCTGTCTCTCTGATATACCAGTGTCAACAATATTAGTACCAAGTATGACACTAACATACTACCCCCATACATACCACTATACTACCCTTACATACCACTATATTAACACTGTAGATACCATTACACTAACACCATACTTACTACAGTACAAAGGCAAGAAGTCGTATTTTATGTCGCAACAGGATGAAGAAACTGCATTAATAGAGACCGAATGTGAAAAGGACCTGGCCGTGTATGATGACATGAACTGAGATTCTCGGGCCATTGTGAAAAGGAGAATCAAGCAAGTAAACTAGTAGGTCTTATAAGAAAATCGTTCAGATATCTATACGATCTATCCCTCGAAACGATCTTCGAGAGTGAGATTTCCCTGCTTGGAGTACTGTCACCCCGTCTAGGGACTTTCAGTTGACTGAAAATGTCCAAAGGAGGGCCACCAGACTGGTGCCTGCACTTCGGCACCTCAGTTATCCAGAGAGATTGGAGCGCCTGCAACTGCCTAGCTTATACTACAGACGGGCAAGGGGTGACCTAATTGAGGTGTATATACATCTCAGAGGGCGCTACTCAGTCAAGTGTCCCTACCTGGAGCTGGCAGACGCTCGCCCCACAAGGGGTCACTGCTCAAGGTTGAAGAAGGCGCAAGTCCAGAAAACTGTGAGGGCAAACTTTTTCGGAGTGAGGGTTGTAAACTCTTGGAACAATTTACCAGAAAGTGTTGTGACGGCACGGAGTGTGAGCTCTTTCAAGACAAGAATTGACCAACACTGGAGTAGGTTAAGATTCATTCAGTACCCAGACCTTGCCAACAGCGCGTGACAGAGACGTAACCGACTGCTCAAGCGGCTAACGAGCAAATCAATCGCGAAGAGGATAAAAGTAAAAGAAAGTAAAAGAGTACATACAGCTGAGGATCTTGGGGGCGCTGTTAAGCCCCTAAGAAATTTTTTTTAAATCTGTCTAATTGAGGGATATTTTGAGGCCGTATGCACTAGATTATTAGGATATATTCCAAGGTTGAAGATACAATATTTCCAGTGTTATTTTATTAGATGTGTAACATCCAGTAGGATCAATAAAAATAGCTAACAACTGGAATAATTAACTAAAAACAGTTAACAGCTGGTATATCATGGTGACTGTTTCACCAAATGTAGGCTATTCAATAGGCTAACGCCTCGTACATGGATGGAGTAGGCAACACAACAGTGGGTTTGTATTGCAATTAGATGGTGAATGTTCAGATCAGAGGTTTATTCCCAGCCCTTTTCAACTTGTTTACCAACTTGCATTTTTTGTGGGCAGCAAATCATAAAGGCTAGCATTGCCTCAGTTGAAGCTAAAAGAAAAGAAACAGTTAATAATTCTTTCTCATATTTCTTCTAGGGGTGGGAATTAAATTTCATGACGTTAGAAATTTGTAAGTTCGGAGTTATTTGAAAGAGTGAGGAAACGCCGTTCCGCCTACCAAAAAATGTAAGGGAACGCCGTTTCACAGCATTACACCTCTGCTAAGTAGACCAATTCATATTCATTCAGAATAGACAGGATTGCATTAGTTGCAAGCAAGATGCAAATAATAATATAGTAGTATGTATGGTGTTAGTATAGTAGTATGTATGGTGTTAGTATAGTAGTATGTATGGTGTTAGTATAGTAGTATGTATGGTGTTAGTATAGTAGTATGTATGGTGTTAGTACAGTAGTATGTATGGTGTAAGTATAGTAGTATGTATGGTGTTAGTATAGTAGTATGTATGGTGTTAGTATAGTAGTATGTATGGTGTTATTATAGTAGTATGTATAGTGTTAGTATAGGAGTATGTATGGTGTTAGTATAGTAGTATGTATGGTGTTAGTATAGTAGTATATATGGTGTTAGTATAGTAGTATGTATAGTGTTAGTATAGTAGTATGTATGGTGTTATTATAGTAGTATGTATAGTGTTATTATAGTAGTATGTATAGTGTTAGTATAGGAGTATGTATAGTGTTAGTATAGGAGTATGTATGAATTGTTGAGTATAGTGATGTATGGTGTTAGTATATTAATATGTATGGTGTTGGTATGAATTGGGTATGTATGGTGTTAGTATAGTGAGTATGTATGGGGAATTGGTAGTATAGTGGTATGTATGGTGTTAATTATAGTATTATGTATGGTGTAAGATATAGTGGTATATATGGATTGGTATAGTAGTGTCTAATATGAATTGTTAGTATAGTAATATGTATGGTGTTAGTATATAGTGGTATGTATGGTGTTGGTATTATGGTAGTATGTAATTGTTGAGTATGAGTAGTATGTATGGTGTTAGTATAGTGGTATATATGATTGTTAGTTTAATTAGTATGTATGATTGTTAGTATAGTAGTATGTATGGTGTTAGTATAGTAGTATGTATGGTGTTAGTATAGTAGTATGTATGGTGTAAGTATAGTGGTATATATGGTGTTAGTATAGTAGTATGTATGGTGTTAGTATAGTAATATGTATGGTGTTAGTATAGTAGTATGTATGGTGTTAGTATAGTAGTATGTATGGTGTTAGTATAGTGGTATATATGGTGTTAGTTTAGTAGTATGTATGGTGTTAGTATAGTAATATGTATGGTGTTAGTATAGTAGTATGTATGGTGTTAGTATAGTGGTATGTATGGTGTTAGTATAGTGGTATATATGGTGTTAGTATAGTAATATGTATGGTGTTAGTATAGTAATATGTATGGTGTTAGTATAGTAATATGTATGGTGTTAGTATAGTAATATGTATGGTGTTAGTATAGTAGTATGTATGGTGTTAGTATAGTGGTATATATGGTGTTAGTATAGTAATATGTATGGTGTTAGTATAGTAGTATGTATGGTGTTAGTATAGTAATATGTATGGTGTTAGTATAGTGGTATATATGGTGTTAGTATAGTAATATGTATGGTGTTAGTATAGTAGTATGTATGGTGTTAGTATAGTAATATGTATGGTGTTAGTATAGTGGTAAATATGGTGTTAGTATAGTAATATGTATGGTGTTAGTATAGTAGTATGTATGGTGTTAGTATAGTAATAAGTATGGTGTTAGTATAGTGGTATATATGGTGTTAGTATAGTAATATGTATGGTGTTAGTATAGTAGTATGTATGGTGTTAGTATAGTAATATGTATGGTGTTAGTATAGTGGTATGTATGGTGTTAGTATAGTAATATGTATGGTGTTAGTATAGTAATATGTATGGTGTTAGTATAGTAGTATGTATGGTGTTAGTATAGTAGTATGTATGGTGTTAGTATAGTAATATGTATGGTGTTAGTATAGTAATATGTATGGTGTTAGTATAGTAATATATATGGTGTTAGTATAGTAATATGTATGGTGTTAGTATAGTAGTATGTATGGTGTTAGTATAGTAATATGTATGGTGTTAGTATAGTAATATGTATGGTGTTAGTATAGTAGTATGTATGGTGTTAGTATAGTAGTATGTATGGTGTTAGTATAGTAATATGTATGGTGTTAGTATAGTAATATGTATGGTGTTAGTATAGTAGTATGTATGGTGTTAGTATAGTAGTATGTATGGTGTTAGTATAGTAGTACGTATGGTGTTAGTATAGTAGTATGTATGGTGTTAGTATAGTAGTATGTATGGTTTCAGTATAGTGGTGTATATGGTGTTAGTATAGTAGTATACAGGCATATGGTGTTAGTATATTAATATGTATGGATGTATGGTGTTATCATAGTAGTTTGTATGGTGTTAGTATTCTAATATGTATGGATGTATGGTGTCAGCATAGTATTATGTATGGTGTTAGTATATTGGTATGAATGGTGTTAGCATAATAGTGTGTATGGTGTTAGTATAGTAGTGTGTATGGTGTTAGTATAGTAGTATATGTGGTGTTAATTTATTAGTATTTATGGTGTTAGTACTTATAGTAGTATGTATGGTGTTACTTTTACTTTACTTTTATCCTCTTCGCCAGTTATCAACTCATTAGTAACTTGGAGGTCGGACATGTCTTTGTGAAGCACCATTGGCAAGTACTGGGCATGATGCACTGGCTCTTGAATATATCTGAACCGTCAAACCGTCTATCTTCAAACTCAGGAAGATTGTTCGCATCCTCTCTTGTGAACACCGAGGAAAAGAAACTGTTTAGTACCTCCACCTTATCCTGGACAGAATCTGCGTAACTACCATCTTCAAGCCTCAGGTCCGATACTCCGACTCGCGTTTTTAATTTCGACCTTGCGTAGCGGGAAAAAGCCTTTGGATTTTACTTGACTTCGCTCGCAATCCGCCTCTGGAACTCTTTGTCAGCCTTTCTACACTCTGACTTTGCTTGGTTCCTGGACTTGGCATACACCCTCTTGTCCTGCTTATCATTTGTCCTATCCCACTCAAGTCTCAAATTTCTGTGTTTTATTAACTTTGTCGACCGCCACATGGTTCATGTGTAGCGGTCTCCTTATATTCCTGGAGATACTGAGTTTTGTCTTGGGTGTATATTTATCGATCAAATGATTCATTTTACTTGCTATAATATTCAGCGTAGCGTCTGCGTTCTAGTACCTTAGTCACCTTAGTGAGTCAGGCCAGTGGATACCCCTCATCTCCTCCCTCATCCCGTCGTAATTACCCTTGTAATATTTGAACCTTGGCCTGGCTTTGCCATGAACCCGCTTCTGAGAAACACTTTCAAAATGCGTTGCCTCACTTCTTTATTTAGCACTACTCCACTGCTACTTAGTGTTGAATATTATTAATCTATAACTAAATTATTTTTATTAAATTATTCGTAAAAGCTCAGAAATCAATTTACTGGAATAATTGGCAATTTTCCAATCTAAACCTGGCAATTTTTCTTAAAGAATATCTGGCAACTCAGAGTGCTAAGAGAGTTGTGCAACGAGCTTGCCGAGCCTCTGAAGATCCTGTTTTGTAAATGCCTGGATGAACAAAAGGTCCCCAGTGAATGGAAAGTGGCTTATGTGAGTCCTATCTTCAAGAAGGGCGATAGTCACTCCACGAACAACTATAGACCGGTGAGCCTGACCAGCATAATATGTAAAGTTCTTGAGAGTATTATCAGATGCTGCAATGGAGCATCTACAACGAAACACCTTGTAAAGGATTGCCAACACGGTTTTATGCCGGGGCGCTCCTGCTTAACACAATTGCTCAAGGAATTGGATATTTGGACCCATATTCTGGAACAGGGTGGAAATATCGACAATATATACCTAGACTTTGCCAAGGCTTTCGACAGTGTACCCCACGAAAGGCTAAAAATCAAACTGGGAGGGTACGGAATTCGGGGAAATGTCCTAGCGTGGATAGAAGACTTTCTACGTGACCGCAAGCAATGTGTGGTGATTAATGGCACGAAATCATCGTCCGTACCTATCACAAGCGGGGTACCACAGGGCAGTGTATTGGGCCCGCTGTTGTTTGTTTGTTTCATAAATGACATGCCTGACGTTGTACACTCCTCCATACAAATGTTTGCCGATGTCGCCAAGCTATTTCGGGAAATTAAGAACCAAGCGGACTGTGAAGAGCTGCAGGAGGACCTCTGTGGGCTCCAGGAATGGTCGAAGAAATGGCTGCTGAGATTCAATGTCACGAAGTGTAAGAGGATGCACCTGGGGCGTACCAACGGCAAGGAGGCGTATCTTGTGTCCCAACGGGATGAAGAAACTGCACTATTTGAGACTGAATATGAGAAGGACTTAGTTGTGTATGTTGACAATGAGCTAAAGTTCTCGGGCCATTGTGAGAAGAAGGTAAATCAGGCAAATAAATTATTGGGTCTTATAAGAAGGTCGTTCAGATATCTAGACGGTCCGTCCCTCGTAACGATCTTCAAGAGTGGAGTGCTTTTCCATCTGGAGTACTGTCACCCCGTCTGGTCCCCTAGATATGCTAGGGACTGTCAGTTAGTTGAAAATGTTCAAAGGAGGGCCACCAGACTGGTGCCTGCACTTCGGCACCTCAGCTACCCTGAGAGATTGGAGCGCCTGAACTTGCCTAGCTTATACTACAGACGGGCAAGGGGCGACCCAATTGAGGTGTATAAGCATCTCAAGGGGCACTACTCAGTCGAGTGTCCTTACTTGGAGCTGGCGGACGCTCGCCCCACACGGGGTCACAGCTTAAGATTGAAGCAGCCGCAGGTCCAGAAAGCTGTGAGGGCAGACTTTTTCGGAGTGAGAGTTGTGAACTCTTGGAACAATCTATCAGAAAGTGTTGTGTCGGCACCGAGAGTGAGCTCTTTCAAGATCACTATATATACTACTATATATACTACTATAATAACACTATACATACCACTATACTAACACTATATATACTACTATAATAACACTATACATACCACTATATATACTACTATAATAACACCATTCATACCACTATACTATCCTAACATGCCACTATACTATCCTAACATGCCACTATACTAACACTATACAAGCTATTTATACTAGCACCATGCATAACACTATACTAACACTATACATGCCATTATACTAACACCATACATACCACTATACATGCTATTATACTAGCACCATGCATAACACTATACATGCCATTATACTAACACCATACATACCACTATACTAACACTATACATGCTATTATACTAGCACCATGCATAACACTATACTAACACTATACATGCTATTATACTAACACTATACATGCTATTATACTAACACCATGCATAACACTATACTAACACCATGCATAACACTATACTAACACCATACATAACGCTATACTAACACCATACATACCACTATACTAACACTATACATGCTATTATACTAACATTAAACATGCTATTATACTAACACCATATATAACACTATACTAACACCATACATACCACTATACTAACACTATACATGCTATTATACAAGCACCATTCATACATAACACTATACTAACACTATACATGCTATTATATTAACACCATACATACCACTATACTAACACTATACATGCTATTATACTAACACCATACATACCACTATACTAACACCATACATACCACTATACTAGCACTATACATGCTATTATACTAACACCATACATACCACTATACTAACACCATACATACCACTATGCTAACACTATACATGCTATTATACTAACACCATACATACCACTATACTAACACCATACATACCACTATACTAACACTATACATGCTATTATACTAACACCATACATACCACTATACTAACACTATACATACCACTATACATGCTATTATACTAACACCATACATACCACTATACTAACACCATACATACCACTATACTAGCACTATACATGCTATTATACTAACACCATACATACCACTATACTAACACTATACATGCCACTATACTAACAGCAAACCACTCCACCATCCTTAAATACATCACATACAGGAATTTACGCACATTATAGAAACACATCTCCATACATTCATACACCATAAGAATAACACAACCTGTGCACTAACATATATGACACAATTCCGCATCACTAAGGCCGAGTTGTCCTCTCTCAGGGACCTCAAACGGCTTTGCAAAGAACATACATACAGTACAAGAGAATACACTGCAAGTTATGAGAGTAAATAATTCAATAACATCTTATAAACCATAATAAACGGGACTGTAGGGGTGTGTATAATATATGTAGCCTACTTACCAACGTTGCTGGAGCAAGGCTATGCACTTAATTCCCTTCCCCTAACACAGAGCGAAAACTGTTCTCGAAATATCTGCATCATGTCTTTCCAGAGAATCCTTGACTGTTGACTTATAATTGAAACTTTGAAGGCAGGATAGAAAACCAGGCTGGAACCACGGAGCCGCTTTCACCATAACCCGAGTGAGGAGAGAGCGTTGGCCGTACTCCACCTCTCGCTGGAACCACTCCCATGAAACTGAACATTTGTTCCCTTTAGGTGGGTGTGGTTGATGATCCGCTTCACTTTAGACTTCGTTATTTTCGTCATCTTTCGTTCCTAAATTTATATTAAATAATGACAATATATTTTAACATCGATGAACGAAAACTGCTCGAAATGGCGCGGTTATTTATACAGTATTTGACATAAATATTTAATTTCCAGAAGATCGTGTATTTGTAGTTTACTTACAAAATACACGCTTCTATCCACTGACTTTTACAATTAAAATACTTTTCAGTATAGATAGTCATACTGTACACGCGTCGGAGAAGTAAATTAACTTTCACTTTTACAAACGGCTCAGTCATCCTCGCTTACGGTATGGCCGAGTGCTGAGACTTGACCGCTATCTGGAACCTACTGAACCTAGCCACCGTATTTCCCTAAGACTAAAGCGAGTAACAGTTTAAAATTAAAGCATATTATCTAAAAATATTTTAACTTGGTCCTTAGGTATGTAATTGTTAATATATTGATTCAGATCGTGGCTTCTTTTCTTATTGAAACATACAGAAGTTAGGGGTCAAGAAATTATGGTTAGTAGGCACTCGTTTTCTTTATACTGTATATGAGTGGAGAAGTTATTTGAAGAAAACATAGCATGCATTTGCCCTTCCTGAATTAGATGTTACAGAGATGCAGGTTGTAAAGCAACGAAATAAATTTTCTTGAGTACTGTATTCAAGTAACATTTTTGGGTATCTACTTTTTAAAAAGTACTAAAAATTTAGTACTTTTACTTTTACTCAAGAATGGTTTTCTAATACTTTTACTCCAATACAATTTAAAAAAATTCGTTACTCGTTATGTGCCCCAAACAAACAAACAAAGGGTTTTAACTCCTCTAATGAATGGGGGGGGGTCCAAGAAGTTGTGAGTAGGGGAGCATGGCATGGCATTTTGAAGGCATGTGCACTTGATATTAGGCGATATTCTGAAGTCAATAGTAATTACTTTTGCGTACAAAAACAGCAGGTACAACACTGCATTACAGAAAAAGTCTTGGAATTTTCCGAGGAAAAGTGGGGGGTGTCTGGACCTACGGTCGCCAGACGTCCGGGTTTCGACCCGAAAGTCCGGTTATACAGTGTTTATCCCATGTCTGGTCAGAAAGAGTGACCGGACGCTAAATTGTCCGATCAGAGCAAAATGGAAACAGTTATTACAATTTAAAACTGAAACCCACTCATTCTTTTATATGATGAATGATAATGAATCACTGGCTAAACATGTTTTTTTTAACTATACTAGCGTTGTTTCTTAAATATGTAGGCCAAGGAACTTGTTAGAGCTAAAAGAAAAAATATAAATATCAACCAAACAAGTAAAGAGGACACTGCAAAGGGAGGGAAAAAAATTAAAGAACAAATACTATCAATGTATACAGCCTTAACAACTTACTTTTACCTTTATCCTCGTCACCACTGATCAGCTCGTTAGCCGCTTGGGCGATCGATCACGTCTCTGTTACTTTTCTTTTTCTTTTATCCTATATGGACCCTCAGGACACCCCCTGGATCCGGCTTTGATTAACCATGGTAAAAGAGTTGTGTGGGTGGAGGGTGTGGTATGGGAGGAGCCGTGAAGGGTACGGTGTGGGTGTGGGGAGACACCACGAGGCCACATACCTCGAGGTCTCGTGAGTTAAGTACCACTGACCCCCCCCCCCCTCCACCCTTCACCAGCACCCGCCAGATGTTACGTGGTGCGAAAAATTCAGCCACTCATCAATTAGAATCGAAAAATGACGTCACCACAGCCACACCCCCAATTAGAGGGACAATTTACGATTACCTGTTGTAAGTCGAAAGTTGCGAATTCGAATTCAGGGAGTTGTTGGAGCTTCCAATAACTTGATGGCATAAACCACTGACTCTTCAGGCTTCTACGCCCTTGACTCTAACAGGCTTCTACGCCCTTGACTCTTCAGGCTTCTACGCCCTTAACTCGCGAGACATAAAAGGCAAGCATGAACTTAGTATGCTTCCCTGTTGGGCGCTGTAAACGCTTCTGCTCTTCACCTTACACAAAGATGTAGGGGGGAGTGCCCAATAAAAAAATAAAAAAAAAGTCACTATGGAGGCAACAATCACCCACAAACTCCTCAACTGAAGAACCTTCATAGCTACAACTTGGCGTGCAAAGGGGATGGAATGGAGCTACTGAGATCTTTCCGATATTATGTGATTTCGTAATTAAGAAGATTTGTAACCAGGTGAGAAGGTTGGGTCAGCTTACCCTCTGACCTGACTACCTCACGCTGCGGTGCTTTTGTGAAGATTAGTAGGGTCATTACCTATACCTGACCATTGTGGACTTGATCTCACCCTCCTCTGTATATATATATACCCTGTTTTGTACTTCTTTGTCTGTACTCACCCGTGAAGATGTGAATTACACGAAAGCGCTTGGGAACTTCGTGTTTTCTTTTTCCTTGTGGTTATCAGCATATATATATATATATATATATATATATATATATATATATATATATATATATATATATATATATATATATATATATATATATATATATATATATAATATATACAAGTAAATCACTGTAGGTGCGCGTGATCAGGTATATGCTGATAACACAGGGAAAAGAACTAGCACTGTGAATACAGGCTATATGTACAGAGGAGGGTAGATCAAGTCCACAGTGATATGGTAGGTAATGCCTCTGAAATTATCCAATTTGTACATACCATTACTTAAATTCATACCGAATCCGTCAACATGTAGATCTATACACAGTCTGCACTCCCCTCCCCCCACAACAACAACAACCATGAGTATGATATGTGATTACTGCACGGGAACGTCGAATATGGAGGATACAGGCCTGACTAATGCAACATTTAGGAAGATGCAAACTGCCGAAAAGCATGAAGGCTGTTGCTGGTATTGCCTTGAATGCATAGTCAAGGTGAAAAAGGCGATTGCAAGCCATAAGGGAACGAGTTCCCTAGGGACGAAAATAGATGAAGCTGGAGCCCTGCTGGTTGCCAAACTAGAGCAAGTTGGGAAAGAGATCCTTGCTAATACTGAGGAAGTAGCCAATAGAATGGTGGTGGATGCCAAGAGGAGTTATGCTGAGGCATTAGCAGGGCCACGGGGGGTGGCGGAGAGTAATGCAGGATCAGAACAGGTTCTACAGCAGCTAGGGACTCTGAAGAAGTGTGTTGAAGAGGAGGAACAACGGGAACGTTTCTAGCACAGGAACAATGTAATAGTTTATGGAGTTCCCGAGAGCCAGGCGGAGGGAACTGAGAGTAAGGTAACACACGATAAGATGCAGTTTCAGAATATTTGTACAGAGGTTCTGAAAATGCCATCAACCCCACAGGATGTGTGGAGGCTGGGACAAAAGCAGGGGAATAAGCCTCGCCCCCTCAGAATCACACTAGTGAGCGAGGATGAGAAATGGGAGGTTATTCGGCAGGCAAAAAACTTAGCAAGGAGCGAGGCATCTCAGGGTGTATTCATTCACCCAGATCGCACGGTAATGCAGAGGGAACAGTACGAGAAGCTCCTGCAGGACTTGAAGCAGAAGAGGGAGGCGTCAAGCAGAAACGGGGACGGGTGTACATGGGTAATAATCAGGGGGAGGGTAGTGGAAGCAAGTGTGCCGACACAGGGCCAGGGGGCAGCAGCGCCCCCGCTCTACCCCCCACCCGGGAGGTGGTACCAGCTCCACCTATCAGACAGGAGGAGGCGAGCGCCGTGTAAACACTGACATTTCTAACCACACCCTGCAAAACACAGTGTACTTCGCAAATGCTACAGCTTCTGAGAATGGGGGGGGGGGGGGTTGGGGGCGGGGTTACTACTAAGAGCAGAGACGTTACCGAAAACAAATTCTGGCTTGAATGTCATGTACACTAAGACTGACTCGTTTCTTGATAAGAGAGAGGAGTTTGAAACACTACTGAAAGTACACCAACCAGATATTGTAGGAATTATAGAACTGTTGTACAAGAACAGGAGAATCGACCCAGAGGAATGTGAGTTCAGTATTGCTGGATATGACTCATTGACGAACCATTCTCAAGAAACTTGCAAGAGGGGTAAGGTTATCTATGCTAGGCAAGACCTTAGAGTCAGCCAGGCGAGGGTACAGGGAGAGGATGTTTTTGAAGAGACCAAGAGGTGTAAAATTAAATTAAAGGCAGGGGACTTACTTATCGTCGGGTGTATCTACAGATCCCCAAACTGTGGCTCACTAAATCAAAGGAACTTAAGAGCCTTAATAGATAACGCGGCGATACTCAACCCTAGCCACCTCCTTATCATGGGGGACTTTAACTATGGCGACATCGACTGGAGAAACAAGTTTACCCCAAATGACTTGAATAACCTTGCTACTCTTTTTGTAGAAACTCTGAGAGATAATTTTCTGTTCCAACATGTTAGAGACCCGACACATTACAGAGGGGAGCAAACACCCAAGTCACTTGACCTCATCATAACAAACGAGGAGGGTATGGTGGCGAAACTGGAACACCTTGCCCCAGTTGGCACCAGTCACCATATATTGTTGACATTCAGATTTAACTGTTACCTAGTTCAGGATAAAGCCAGGCCAAGGTGCAAATATTACAAGGAAAATTACAACAGGATGAGGGAAGAGATGAGAGGTGTCAACTGGCCTGACTCAGTATGGCACAAGAACGTAGACACTATGCTGAATATCATAACTAGTAAAGTGACCCATTTGATCGATAAATATATACCCAAGACCAAACCCAGTGCCTCAAGGAATACGAGGGGATCTTACACATGAACCACACGGCGGTCGACAGAGTTAAGAAGAAAACCCAGAAATTCAAGACGTGGGTTGGGTCAAACGATGAGCAGGACAAGAGGATGTATGCAAGAGGCAGAAACCAAGCAAAGATAGAGTGTAGAAGGGCTGAAAAGGCGTTCCAGAGGCTGGTTGCAAGCGAGGTCAAGTCAAACCCAAAGGCGTTTTACCGCTATGC